CTGCAATTCAAGTAAGCTCACAGCATTTCTTGAACACAGTAAGAACAGTTTTTATTTACAGATCCACAGCTAAGTACAAAAAAAAACCAAACCCCACCTTTCAATAAACCAATTAGCTCCCAACTTTCAGCAAGATCATTCTCACAGTGATCGGGCCAGCTCTAGCAACAAGCAGCTTCTCCTTCCAGCCAGAGAGGACATTCCCACTCATCTCTGACAAACGGCTCTCCTATATCACCACGTACTTTAGCAAGCCACAGTGCACTGCTAAACACTGCGGTGCCCTGAAACCCCCAAACGCAGCCCACTCATTTCTGCTCCTGGTCACGTTGCACACTCTTAGCTATGGCAGCACTGCACTGCCAATTATCTACACAAATCTTTTTCAGTTCCTTCCTGTTCCTCATATCCCAAATATCTCTGAAGCTGAAGGAACAGTGTGAGGTCCTGAGCGTATTCTGAGATCAAGCACAAAAACTCGCAAATTAAGAGCATTTTAGCTCCACGCTGCTAGCTAGGTTAGTATTTCTGTCTCATGGAGAGATTCTTTTTGTTTGCAAAATGATGTTTGTTAGTAAAACCAATTATCTGCATCCATCTAATGCATACTTTTAAGAAGAATGTTTTTCTATAAAAGATGCCTCAGCTGACATACAAATGTCACTGAATCGAAAATAAAAAGCATGTCCTATCTAACAAGAGATAAGCAAGGAAAGCAAAGCTTTTCAGGGGAAGAAAATTAGGATGAATACAGACAAAGAATTTCAGATAATTGGAAGCACTCATTTTCACGGACTCTGGCTTTACACTTTTTCATTACACAAAAACTAGGCGATGCATTTAAAATGCAGTATGTCAACTACTATAAGGCTAACAGACATTTGAGCATTTATACTTGATATGTGCATCATCCAACTAAAAAGAGTGAATATTTCAGAAAAGCACCATGCATCTGTCTCAAAGTATAACTACTTTGGAGGACAAATTGAGGAAAGCATGTTTTTTTCGACAGCAATGAATAGAGTGAATATGTGAAGCAAATAGGAATGCTGTGAAATTTAATAATAAAGTAGCAGAAGGAAATCTGTTAACTTTCTAAGCAACTACACTGTTTAAAACAGTGACAGCATTTCAACAGTAAGCTTTCAAGTTTCATTTTGGTCTCTCAGCCCATACATGGAAATTCCACAAATACCAAAAATGTCAAAATAAGACACTTTAAAGATGAGCAAAACTTGCTCTTCTTCTAAAACTTAATGTACAATATATATTTAAAATTACATACATGGGCATGTTAGCTAAACCAGTTACTAAAACAAGCAATCAACCGTAAGAGAACTTGACGGTAGATTCTAATTCTCAAAACTAGTCCTGCTAAAAACCCTGACGTTATGATTTGAAGTAGCATTGCATTAAGCAGCTGGTCACCTCAACAAGACGGCACAAGACTGCCACCTTGTGAAAAAAAAAAAAAATAATCAGATCTGCATTAACAGGACAAAAATCAAGCATCTGTCCCCAGAAACTAGAGAATACTTTTTCCTACAATATTTTTACCAGAAGTAATCCATCTGGTTTATGTAATCACAAGAAAAGTAACAGATATAAAAATATTTCAGCATGCACATATTGCTTATGATGTAAAATTCACGCCAATTTTGAACACGAACATGTGTTCTCAAAGACCATAAAAGGAATGAAATACAGAATGCTCACAAATAACAGAAAATACAGTTCATAGCACATAGGATTATCAAACAAACTCCCCATCTTCCCAAATAACAACTTATTTTTAACTAAAAGTAAAAGCCAATTGTTCAATTATTTGTCTTTTTTTTCCACCTCAAAACAATTCAGCCATGTGGTGGCTGTTCAGCTCTTTATTTTTATTATTCTGACAGGTACTGAAAAATCACCATCTTTCTGTCTGAGAAAAACAGAACCTGAGCCTTTATTTTTAAACAGCAATTATAAAAATGTTAGCTACACTTTTTGTTTTCATCTTGGACATTTCAACAAATTAGTGTGATTTTTTCTAAACAGACAGCTGATTAATAAAATTTACAATAAATTATCATTTTAATGCTGTTGTAAGTAATTTCATTGCCAAATGACATCCGCTGAGGAATTAATCTAAAGTAAGCAATTAGGGTTCTACTGATACTAGAAGACCTTGGCAATATAAACCAGGGTAAACGCAGTCCTTCTGCATGTCTTTAAGACAAAGAGCTAATAAATTATGAACACCTTCAATGGAAATATTTCAGGAGCAAAATACTAAAATCAGTTTTCCAAAAGATACTTGCTCCAAGATTATAATGTATGTTTAACTAATTCTTATATCTACAATATAGCAATGCTATCACTACTGATATTTGCTAAATTTCTAAGAGATGTTGATGAAATTTGGAGACCTTTCTTTACGATATAATTGCAACCATCTTGATTTCTGAGACTGAATCAGGATAACATTGAATATTACCTGCAAACTCCCTGTGGTTCATCAGCAAAAGTGAAAACATAGCTTTACTCTAAAAATAAATTTTCCTGTCATGTTTTAGCAGTTCATGGACTTTCCTTTTTAATTCAAACTTGTATCAACTCAACCTGCTTTTAAATTAGCAAAATACGTTGAGAATAATTGTACTTTTAAAGTAAAATATATAGTGTACTGATAAATACCATGATAAAATATTATGCCATCTTAGAACACTGGTTAAAAAAAACCCCAACAGTTCACAGATATCTCTCCACATGTAATTTTTCTCGTGTCTTGTGATGTCGAGCTCATTAGAAAGGTATTGTGCTCTAAATCTTGGGGGACTTTTTGCATTCACTTTACAAAAGAAATGCATCAAAATTGTACTATTTAAACTTGGTTCTTTCCACTTGAAATATGGCTGCTATCTCTGTTAAGAGTAAGTAGGAAGCGTACACAGTCTCTTAACAGTGTTGACAATTGAAGGCATTCAGATACCAGTATCAATAGACATGCTGGACAAAACAAAACACCTGTGGACTATGTAGGCACAGGAATTTTTGCATCTTGTCAAGTGAATGAACACTTGCTCCCCTCCATAAAGCCAGAAAAAAACCCAGATCCAGGCGACAATTCAGAATTCTAGCCAGAGCCCCGTCCCCTCCCATGTTAACCATTCCAACACGCTCAGTAGTAGTATTTCACAACAAATGAAGTTGTACTAAAACACGTGTATGATCTTCACCTTGTATACATTTTTACTGGCATGGTATACAAAAACAAAATTGGAAGCAGAAGGCATGCAAGACTTCCCCACCTAAATCTGTCATACTGAAACCACAACACAAGACAACATCCTGGACTCTTCAAGAACCACGCTGGCTTCTTGAAAAACAACCCATTTCTGGTTTCTCTTGTCCCTTGAACCTGAGAAAGCAAATAGGGAGCGACTGAAAATGGCTTTCCTGATGGTACACACATTATCAACAAATTACCATACTGGTAACAGGCCAAGAAGCAAACAGTGACCTGGCAAAGGTCTTCAATTCAACACAAATAAACCTACTCATTGAAGAGTGACTTTAAGGTTTCCTTAGAAGAAACAGGGTCGCAAAGACATTGGACAGGAGACTCTGAGTTAACCACACTCTTCATAGTGTTAGTACAGAGAAGGGATCAGAGTCAGGACATTGATCTGCATACTGTAACAGAAAAAAAACAACCATACCGATTAACTCCACAGTACTGACCTTCTGAGAAACGATTCCATTTTGGAGTGACTGAAGTGGCAATAATATGGTATGTTTGCATAGGTTTGGCTGCAGTATTTTCATTACAGAACAAGAAAGAACTTAAAGGTGCTACAGAGCATGTGAAGTTTTGGACCCCCCTGCCACATAATTTAGTTATATTTATAAAACTGTTTTAATAGTTAACTTCAAGCAATCAAATATTTTGGAATCTAACTAAAGTCAATTACTGACGGGAACCACTACAGCCTTCTTTTATTCTGATGATAACGCACCAAATCCTTTTAAAAATATATATATACACACACACATTGTATTTTACCTTTGTAAAACAAAATATATATACTCCCTAGTTCCATTAGATTTGTATACATATGAAAAAAAATTAAAAGAACAATTCAGTAATGCCATTAGCATTTCTTTAAGATTACACGTCAAAGATCTTAGAAACACTCAGTTCAACTTGGGAGTGCACTCATATCCTACTTCAATACAAACCTGTGAACACAGAACCTCAGGACATAAAAGCCTGATTATTTAAAAGGGTATTCATTAGACTGCATTCCACTGTGTAACGACACATTTCAGTCTGACATACATAAATTACACCCCTTCTAATCGGTCACATTATCAACTGCAATTTATCTTTTGTTGTACAATAACATTTATTCCCCCAAAGAAGGTACATGCACACAGCCTCCACTGTGTTTTCTAAGTATCAGTTTGAAATAAAATTTTCAAAATGCTCTAATGATTTAAAAGCCTACGTTCTGGTTGCAAAACCAATGTTTTTATTGACAAAAAAAAATCATGAAAATTCAGTGGGATGTAGGAGGTTTTGAAAACATTATACTTTAGTAGTGGTTCATACCTTGACCGCTAGATGGAAGTGGCCTGATCCAAGAAGTAAATATGCACCCAGAGGTAACAAAAAGGTTAAACACTGAAATACTTCGTTTTAAAAAGAAACCTCTGAAACATACTTATAAACTGTCATACCTCCAAGGGCATGTTATATAATATTTTATTATAATGAAAAATGACTGTAAACATCTCCCTTATTTCACATTAATTACAGAAAGGTGTTCTCAAATTTCCCCTTGTGTTGAATTTGTTAATTCCAGGAGCTCATAAATTCAATATATGCAGTATCTTCACATTACAACATATCAGATCTCACATTCAGTTTCAAGAATTTAAGCCGACAGCTTACTTCCTGAATTCCAACTGAGGAGAAAAGTCCTTACACAATGCAAAACATGTTGCTTTATTCCAGAGCCCACAGTCCTGAAACAGAACTGAGTTTCCCTCATGAAACTATGAAAGCATCAAAAAAAAAAAAAGTCACCACATAAACCTCTGGATTTCATCGCTATTTGGCCATTGAAATGTTTTGTTTAGGAAAAGATAAAAAGTTACGGCATTCACAACAATATAAAAAGCTAACTCCAGAAGTTGTCTATATAGAGATGAAAATGGAATATTGAGCCTGTATATTAAGAAAGGCAAAATAAAATAACGAAATTCTAGCAGTTTTTGAGGAACTGTGACCGCTAATAAACATACAAAATACATTAAGATCCAGAATATCGATTTTGATTTTAGTGTATCAGCAAAACTCCAGCCAGCAAACATATAGACTGGAACTAATACATATTTTACAAGCTCGTGTCTTTGGAAAATTTTTCTCCAGACATAGAATGTATAATGTCTGTTATCTGCTAGTAAATACTTATGAACATAGGTAAATTTCCAGATCAGGAACGAAGAGATGACAGCAACTAAGCTGTACTGCACAGGGTGCTTTCGTAATGACAGAAGAAATTTCCTGATTTTAGTAGGGGTTAATAAATGAGGGAATGAAAAAAAGACAGTAAAGGACAGAAAATAGAACAGCTGAGGAAAGTGCAAACAGGCTTCATGGCTACTTCTGTCACCAACAACTATTCCACCATTGATGAAGACAAAAACAAAGAACACCATAACTAATATGATGTATGGCCAAGTTAAAACAGTAAGTGTAACCAAGTTTTTAAGTGATATGAGATATTCAATAAGAAACCGCAATATTCTGATCAAATCTGGAAATGATCCTTTCCTGGAAGAAATCTTTTCATCTTTCTTTTTCTGTAACTCTGTCTTCCAGGCTTCATTTAGCTTCTCTGCAACAACATTTCCAGCACAAAAAACTGTCCACACGATATTGGTCTGACGAAACATGAAGCCACAAAATCCGAGCAGAGCTGAAGTTTTATGGTTACCATAAAGGCACATTAAATAGGCAAAGAGAGTAAAAAACACTGATCCTGGGTCTGTATAATAAAGGAATGTAAAAAAATAAAGGGTGGGAAACATTGCAAGAGTTAATGTAGACAAGATTCTCTGGAAACCAGACACAGCCTAGAGAAGAAGCAGAAAAATGTGGTTAGCAATGTCCAATAAAAATAAAATAAAAATAAAAACAAACAAACAAAACCAAATAAAGCATATCATTCTTGGAAATTCCATTAACACAGTATAACATCTCTTATGCTCTTTGGTTCCATTAATGCACAAGCTCGCATGCTATATTTTTGTTAACCTCCTGCTATGTTAATACAGAGTGTCAGACTATACAATGTTAAAAGACAAATGAAAGTACAGAACATTACTGCAGGTGAGTTAAAAATATGGCAATGAAAATACACCAACTTCTTTCATATGTCAGGTGTTCACATATTTGTGGCACTAAGATCATTGTGGGAGTATAATTGCTCCCATATCTAGGATAAAAGAGCTACACTAATGGGCAAAAGAAAAGAAAAAAAATTCAATGTTTTATGCCTCTGCAATCTCAACATCAGATTCTGTTTATTTGTGAGACAGCGTAACACATCATTCTATGCTTATGCTATTGCCTCTTTTGAAGTCAGTCCACAGAGTGGCCAGTTCCAAGTTTCTAATCTTTGGTGCAGCTTTTATTGTTTATCTTCTTTATAATTCATGAGTTAGAAAAGAAACTTTAAAGAAGGCAGGAGACCCCGCAGTTAAAATCTCCTCCCAGTTATCCCACTCACTACATGATGCAATGCAATTCACAACATTAAAAAACATTTCACAATATTTCTGAATGATGTAGCATGGGGTGAAACAGCCAGTCACCACCTTACAGAAAAGAGGAATAGAGAAAATGCTGAGTTCAAAGAAGTGCCAACAATACAACCACAGTTTCTAATGCTTAGACTACTGTCGTGAAACCTTTTGTTTTCTTACATTCATATTTCCACCTCCAAGCATAAAATGAAAAGTGTTCCAAAAGTGGAAACACTTTATTGAATTTGACCCAATTCCGTATAGTCTTATCATGTGCTTAAACACGAAGAGTTTCCTGTAAGAAAATACGTCAGAAGAAATTTTCTTTATAGTACTGGAATCCTTCAGTTATCGGGGAACGGGAAGAAAATGTTCTTATGGCTAAAAGTGAAATTAAAGAACTTCACTATGGTGAAAGACTCTGAATAGGCCATTAACCACTGGAACCATTTGCCTACTGCAGTTGTGGATGCTCCACCACTGTAAACATATAATATTCTTTTAGCCAAGTTGAACTGTTATGGTCTGGATAGGTGGACAGCTAGACAGGTAAAAACTGGCTGGATGGTTAACTGGTCACACTCCATCCAAAGGTGAGCGTTAACAACCAGAGCATCACAGGCATCTGTATTGGGATCTGTTCTGTTTAAGATCTTTATCGATGACTTGAAGACAGCAAGAGTACACTCTCATCAAGTCTGCAGATGACACTAAACTGGGGGGAACAGGCAATATGGTAAAGAGCAGAGCTGTCATCCAGAGTGACCTAGACCAGCTGAAGGAATGAGGCAACAGAAATATTATGAAATTCAACAAGGACAAATGCAAATGCCTGCACCTGGGAAGGAAGAAATCCCCACAATGATATAGGTTGGGCACAGAGTAGCTGAGGAGTGCTCTGCTCTGTGGAAAGGGACCTGGAGGTCTTGGGAGATAGCGAGGTGAACACGAGCCAGTGGCATGCCCTGGCACTAAGGAACAGCCACAGCCTCCTGGGCTGCATTAACAAGAGCACAGCAGCAGATTAAGGGAAATGATTATCCCTCTTTACTCAATTTGTTAAGCTGCATCTAGAATACTATGTCCAATTTTGTGCCCTGTGATGCAAAAAAGGCACTAGTAAACTGGAGCAATGGCAGAGGGCCACCAAGACAGTTTATGGCTGAGGGACCTGCCCTGACAGCAGAGGCTGAGGGACCTGGCCTTGTTCGGTCTGGAAAAATGGATGGCTTGTGGGGACGAACAGCAGCCTACCAATACCTGTGAGGATGTCAACAGGTAAAGGGACCCATGCTCCTTGAAGTGGTACATGGTGGGAGGACATGAGACAAGTCATACAGCAAAATGAAAGGTTCACAACGGATGTAAGAAAAACCTTCTTCACTGTAAGGCCAGTCAGGCATGGAGCAGCTTTCCCAAAGAAGCTGTGCAGTCATTCTCCATCCTTGGAGAGTTTTCCAGGCGCCAACCCTGAGCAACATCTGATCTTAGGGCTGGCCTGCTCTGAGCTGAAGGGTGGACCTCCTAAGGTTCCTTCCAACCTGAAACATTCTCCAGTTCTTTCCACCTTGAATTATTCTCCAGTTCTAAATATTGACATCAAACCTGGTATCTTTCTAAAGAACACATTTTAGTTTAAATGCAGTTAATGGAGCTTCACTCAGGATTCACTGGTTGATGTTTTGTGGAGAGTCTCAAGCAGTTTCAACCAGATGAACCATCTGACCTTTGGATAGTAAGTCTATATGCTTACTAACTTTAACTTTTATTTCAATGGGACTACCTATGCACAAAAGCAAGTTTTTAGAGGATTGCACCCTGAGAGAAAAAAAATATATTTAAAAAAATATAGAGAAAAGGAATGTGCCTCCTTGGCTAAACTGGCAGTAGTATTTGCGGTTATGTAAAACTGAGGACAGCTCACTTATGTAGCAACGCTAACAGACACAGAGCCACCAAAATTGCTTGTACAAGTGCATAAAATTACTCCACTTTGACCATACCTTATTCTTCTGATGGATCTTGGACAGAAGTAAATACAGTAAATAAAAGTTCCC